ACTCACCAATTATGACTTCATTCCTGTTTCACAGCCAACAACTGATCTATGTTTTCACTTCACAAGAGAAATTAAATTTACTTAGTCGTTAAAATAAAACATCACCAGTTAAACTCCTCATCTACATTTTCAAGCATACAGCAAAATCAACTTCTATTTTAATGTTGATAGATGCGCAGTACATGATTATACTGTATATATTCAGCACGTATGTGTGTATTAGTGGTGCAGTACTTGTGCATGTACATGTATTTGCAGCATTAGTACCCAGTCTGGTGGCGTGGTTCAGGTAGGAGCTCAGGCTGCGTCCGAGGCCTCTGGGTTTCCTCAGTGAGGTGCTGTACGACTGAAGTAAAGACTGAACTGAAGAGGATGAAGATCGAACCTTCAAACCTCCAGAGGAACGAAGAGACACCACCTCTGAGGGGAGAGATGAAGGGGTGAAGTGAGGGAAGGATGTGGGGAGGAAAGGAGGTAACAGAAGGGCGATGGAGGGATGAGGGAGGTGTAGGAGGAGGTGAGGGGAGGAGGCGGGTAACGGTTGGTTGATTTGGAAGGAAAAAAAATGAAAGTGGGGTTAAAGGAGAAAAAATAAATTCAAATTAAACAAGTGTTATATTATTGATTAATTGATTGATTGACAGATCCAAGAGGCAACCAATCAAATCACAGATCCAACCAACCAGTCAGATCAGAGGAGGGAATCAGGCGGGAAGTGTCAGGAATTAAACCAGCGAGCTTCCAGTTACTGGTTTGCTGTGTGAGTGGCAGACCAGTTTATAAAGCTGGTTAGCAGCTGGTTAGTTCTTGACTGTTTTAACTGGGAATAATTTTAATTAGTTAGCTACATATTTAAAAAAAGAGGGGGGAAATAAAATGAATAAATATATTTTATTCATGTTATTTACATACTAAAGCATTCAGCCAATCAGGACAAAGTTCTGCCATCACAGAGGTGGTTCCCTATTGGTGGAGCCGGAGGAAAAAGTCTGCAGCTCACTGCAGTCGCCAAGCTCACGGCAGGTTATGTCACCATGTGACACAGTGACACTCTGCAGCACCAGCGGACTTCAGACAAATCTTTAACCAGCATGCATCACGGCAAGCCAGCGCTGCACAGCCGGTCATGTGGTCGCCCGTACTACAACATATGTCCAACATGCCCAGAATATCTTTGCCTTATCGGGCTTCACTTTCTCTGACATCCACAGTCAGACTGAACAGTCACACAAAGGTGGCCATCAACTCGACAAGCTTTCAGTCAAGTTACAAGTGAGTTCCCACGAGCTGTGACAATCTGCTGGGATCATGTGGGAAAAACACAAAAACATAACAAACACTATACAGTTGCTGTGGTTCAAATGGAAGCGTGTGACAGGAAAAGCACTGGATAAACAGCATTTATATCCAGGAACTAACACTGGGGGTGGGATTCCTTATTTTCTGTCATATATACATATACTGGTAAAACAGTCGATGCTAGGGCTGGGAAATTTATCAAGTGCGTAGTCTTTGGAACATAAAGTCCGGAGTTCAAATCCCGGGTAGAGCAAGCATCCAGGCTATTCAAGCCTACCTTGGAACATGAGCGAGGTAAGCATGGAAGCAGTCCCAGCTTAACAAGCTCTGTGTCAGGTGTTGCCAGGACATACTGATGGGAAGTGGGTTACTCTTTGCACTGTGTGACATCAGAAAGCAAGGACAACCCCGACGTGGTCACCACGGAGGATAAACACATAAGCCCCAAACAGATCAGTAGCTAAACTACTGCAGTAGAACGAGAGATTAGAAACAAAATGAGCACAAGTCTCCTTTAATAGACTTGTCATGGCAGCACGAGTGGATACGACTATAATTACAACTGTGTATTGCATTAAATGAACGCGTTGCCTCGCTGTATTCTTATGTGTAAAAGAGCATTAGCATTATTGTTTCCCTGAGGCTTTTTGACTGTCTGAGAACAAATGGAAACATAATTCTAAATGGTAAGTAGGCTGCCTTGCAAATTTCATATAACATATAAAGTATTTAACCCTAGAACACTAACGTCGGGTGATGTTCACCCACGCGGTGAATGAAAATCACTCGGAGGTAAATTCCAAGGGAATTTATAGTTAGCTGGTCATTTTCTCTCTCTCACAGATGTCAGGAATGTAGGGAAACTGGACAAAGCTCACATGTCCCAGGAATGGGAGCACCAAAGAATTTCCCAGTTTCATTATTTATTTTTAGGACTTTACCTTTTTTCTCTTTATGACATGTTGTATAAGGGGAAAATAAGAGTACTTTAATTTCCCATTTATTGTTGTATGTTTTTATATATATATATATAGGTCTCTGTCCATCAAGGTTCAAGACATCTTCTAGGAATGGTGACACTATATCCAGTGGACAGCAATTTTCCATGCTGAGCTCTCATCTCAAGCATAACCTGCACCTGAGCAGCCAGGTGTGTGGCATTAATTAAAGCCGCCATCATAAAAATTGAAAACCCAGCGCTGAGCTCTAAAATCTCGGCACAGGCCTCTGTTCACACCTGACAGGATTACCTGAGTCGCTGTGTGACGTTGCTTCCTGAGTGATGGTGTCACTCAGTGTCCTGTCCCCTCCCCCTGACCCACCCCTCCCCAGAGTGAGTGACAGCTGCCGTTTGATCTTCCTCATCCTCTCCATTAGCGGGGGCCGAGGGGGGAGAGGGGGACGTGACGCCAAGGGGGGCGGGGCTGCCAGTCTGGAGACCACACCTGGACAGGTAGAAATAAAAGGACAGAAATGTAAATAGCCAAACAGTTGGAAACACCTGAACGCCTCAACATCTGACTCATCATGCCTGAATTAGTAGTTATGCATATTCATCTACCATTCATTCACCATCATCAGGTCTACCTCACTCGTCTCACCTGAACATCATCACCTGTAGATCACCAGCTATAGATTCGGCTCACCTGTACATGACCACCTGTATTCATGTCACCTATGGATTTGGTTTACCTGAGACATCATCCTCTTTATGCTCATCTCACATTGAAATCACTACATGCACTCTCATCTCACCTGCAGGTAATCGCGTGACACTTAAAACTAATCCCACGGAACACCCTGAAAACGCGGGCACGAGTTTCCACAGGTGAATCTGACGCACACAGGTGAGTGTGATGTTACTCAGTGTTGATGAAAAGACTCGAGGCCTCGGATCTGTGTAGCAGGAAGTACCCGCACTCACTAATGAACCCAAACAGCCACTTAGATCCGCTTCATGTCACGTGCACACCTGACGGCTAACACCTGGCTGAGTGACAGGACATGTACCTGACAGATGCGTTACGTCACTGCCCGTGGCTCTGACGGCTCGGAACGGGAACTGAAGCTACGTGTGTGTGTCCCCGTGGCAGCTGTTGTTTGTGTTCTGCCGCTTCGGGTGTCGTGTCTCCGTGGACCTGCCTACGCCTGTGTGTTTCTGAGCTGGAGAGCCGAGGACGGGAGCCGTGTATTTCCTGCAGTAAACCGTCCTCCTCACTGTTATAAATAGCAGCGGAGGCGGAGCGGCCGCTGCTCCCTCAACGACTCACTCACCATTTGATAAAGACGGTTTTCCGGTTACACGCGAGGCCCGGGGGTGACCGTTACTCACCGGGAGGGTTTATCCCGGTCTGTCCCGGGTTATCCGTGGCTCGGTTCAGTCTGACGGCTTCTCGGATCTTCCTGGCTCCCAGTAATCTGCAGCCATGTTGCTGCTCTGCTCAGCTCCGCTCCTCCGGTGCGTCCTGACGGAGACGCTCACGGCACCGTCGGTGACGTAACAACCCGGCACGTGTCCCCGCCCCTTTTCATTTCTTTATATATATATTTTATTAAATAATATGTAAACATGTTGATTATACAAACAGAGCAGCTAAAAACAACAAGAAATTGTTCCGAAAAGAAGCAAGTCGTTTGTTTGCTATACAAACAATTTAGTTAATAAGTCACACTTGGATATGAGGGATATTTTTATACTTTTACTAAATAAAAAGTTAAATAATCACTTCGTTAGTAGCTTGTCACAAACACATAATTTGTTCGTTCATTGCTTTTCAATCTATAAAAAATGACCAAACATGACTGTTAGACCAGCAAGCTGATTCGCTGTTATGTCCATATCCTGACATAATGTGGAGAGTAACTGGACACGTGGAGTAATGTCCTTTAAGAAACAGGAAAAAAAGCCCTGACACATGTCTGGTCTTTGAGTTGATCCACTCATCACTGAAGCCTCATCACAAATGGTATCAGTGGAAGGGTGGCTACAAAGGAACATGACTCAAAAATCCTGCCTCAGGTTGTACAGAGTTTGGTTTAAGTAGTCATCAATACGTATGGAGGAGGTCAGGAGAGAGTGAGTGTCTGCAGCCGTCTATAAAACAGCCTCTGTCATCATGTGGGTTTGGACTTCAGTGTTATTGGAGATTTTGTCAAAATTGATGGAATTATGAATGCAGAAGAGTATCAACATCTTTTGATACATAAAATACCATCTGTGGGGTCTAATTAGCAACAACTTCATTTTTGAACATGACAGTGATTGCAAACATACTGCCAATGCAGTAAAAGCTGCATATAAAAACACAATCAGTCATGGATCGGCCTCCCCAGAGCCCACACCTCATCATCACTGAAGCAGTGTGGGATCATCGTCACAGAGAACAAAAGGCAGCCGACATCCAAAGAACCCATGAGTTTATTCAAACTGTTTCCCAATTTCCTAACAAAATATCAAGAAACCAGGAGTGGCTCAAGACCTTTGAATAGTAATTCTCCAGTGATCAGCAGATCCAGCCCACAGAATTTGTCCCCAGTGATTTTCTTCTCTCAGAAATGACCCCAGCTTCTGTCCTCAAGCCTGACGACATGTGAGCTGATCCCGAAAAGATACCCAGGCAGAAATGTCTGCTCACCAACACTGCATCGCTGGAACAGCTCACAAACATTAACATAAAATAACACGTGAAGAAAAAATATTGAATCTTTCCAAAAATATTTTAATATAATCCAGAACTCCCACTCCAGACTCACAGTGGACACTCACAGGGTAGCGTGTACCATATGAGGCCCTGTGGATCTTCGACTGCAGTCAAATATCTTTCTGAAGGTTTAAGAGACCTCGCAGCACCACATTCTGCTGAAGTGAGTATCAGAGAATTTCTGTCAGCAGCCCGGAGCCACACATGGAAACTTCCTGCTCTGGTTAAACTAAGCTTGTAACGCCTGTTGGGAGTCATCACTGGGAAACGTGCTTCGAGGTGACAGACCAATCAGCATGTTTTAGCAGAATGCTAGCATCTTATGAGCAAACTCAACTTTGCTTTAATAAAATCTAAATATAAGTGTTGTGTATTTCAACTCAGACATGTTAGCGGCACTGCCATTAGCTTCACTGGGCGCCCTCTTCTGTACCTGTAAGTTAATCACAACAATTTCTATACAATGAGCTGAAAAGGAAGTGGAATGACTCCTCCATATTGGTTCTCCTCCACTCCCTTTGCTCCGCCCCCGCCCCTGCCAAAACTGGCCTTTGATTGGTTGGGGAAAGGAATCTACACTTTCTACGGAAACATTTGTCCAGGAGTTCATGAAGCATCTCTCTGTTGTCATTGTGACGGTTTGGAGTTGAAAATTTTGGCCAGAAGCGAGACGTTCGATTGGCTCTTCTGCTCCATGAGGCGGGCCTTGTCCAGGTGCTTCTGCAAAACAGAGTCCTTCTTCCTCCTCTTCTTCATCTGGATCTCCTCCTCCGTCTGGCGCTGAGTGAAGTCCCACGTCTTCTCTTCCACCTGACGATGACAAACAGTTTTAGAGCGAACGTGCGTCTCTGCCTGAGCAGGGCTAACATTCGTCGCTTCAGCGTTTACCTGCTCTCCGTCTCTCTGCCTCTTCTTTCTCAGCTTGTCCAGGTGAGCGCTCTTCTCCACATTGTTCAGGTAGAAGTTTGTTTCTCTCTTCGCCTGTGAAACTTCAGTCCTGAGCCTCTGGTTTAGGACCGTCTGCTCGTAGGCCAGCCGCTCACTCAGGTGAATCCACTGGAACCTGTGCAGGTACTGCGGACACACAGGTAAGCAATAGGGACAAATTATTTGACACCATGATGACATTAAACAACTGTCTGTCTGCATTTTCAGCGTAATCGGTGTGCATTAATAGGGAAGAAGAGACCTACCTTCATGCACCACAGGTCAGAGGAGAAGCGCTGGCGTTTCCTGGTTCCCATCGGCGTGTTGTGGAGCGACGCCGCCACTTTCTTAGCCACACGTTTATCTCTGAACTCCACCCATCCTTCTGTGAAGTCACACCTCCGCAGCCCAGCCTTCTTCTTCCGTTTCCTCACCTGTCTGTCTGCAAGATGAGCGCATCGAACATTAACAGGTGATAAATATCTGAGGGGCTATGGTGAAAGCTGCACTTTTCCTCACTTGCTGTTCATGCAGTGGCGCTGACGTGTGAGATCAAGTGTTTAACATGGCTGAAACGTACCAGCACAGGATCAGGTTAGCCTCTCAGAACTTTACCTGTCCCCCAACAGGACAGGTGGACCCACAAAACTGGTAGCCACGTTCTCCAACTCCACATCAGACCCACTGATTCAGGTTTTTTAATTTGTCACTCATTTGTTCTTTGAGTGTACATTTTCTCAACACAGATTAGGTCCCTTAAACTTTTTTGGTGATAAATTTAGAATATTTATCGTAAAAATTTTAAACATGTTATGTTTCCTATATTTCAATAAAAACAAACCTTTTTGAAAGCAGCTGACTCAGTCTTATAGACATCCAAGGTCTCAATAAATACATCCGTTAAGAGTTTAAATAATGTTTAATAAAGATGTCACCAAACAGACTAGAAGTAAGGATATTTCCTCTATTTATTTTATTTCAGTTAGCCTCCCAAGGCCCTAACATCTTTGTTAGTTAAAAATCTTTTGTTGGGATGATCAGGTCAGCGGTAAATCTGGAGTCGAGTTACAGAGCAGTACAGACCCGTTGCAGTTCGGGACATCTTGGCATAACGCTGCCTCTTATTGATTTCTGGAGGAGGAGTTCTGTTTTCCTTTTAGGATGTTGTGGGCTGAAGTGAGATGTTCTGAAGGCTGACTCCTGCCCACATGTGATATAAAACCATTGACTGTAAAATTACAGCTCGAGTGCGTTTCGTGGAGTGTTTTATTTCGTATAAAATAACCCCTCGAGGAGAAATAGAACCAAAAAACAAGCAGAATGCAGACACTCGCTGAAAAATTCTGCTTTAAACATTTAGTATCGCTCCATAACAAAGGCATCCACACAAGGTTTAAGTCTGAGAGTTCAGAGCACTGCCTGTCTTAATCAAAAAAAAAGGCATTTTTGGACTGGACCCTCTGGAATTTTTATATCCAGGAGAAGGACATAAACCGAAAGAACGAGATCGCGAATACAAGCAGCGGAAATGAGTTTCCTCCGAAGGGTGGCTGGCCTCTCCCTTAGAGATAGGGTGAGAAGTTCGGCCATTCGGGAGGGGCTCAGAGTAGAGCCGCTGCTCCTCCACACTGAAAGGAGCCAGTTGAGGTGGTTTGGGCATCTGACAAGGATGCCCCCTGGGCGAGGTCTTCCAGGCATGTCCCACCGGACGGAGGCCCCAGGGCAGACCCAGGACACGCTGGAGAGATTATATCTCTCGGCTGGCCTGGGAACGCCTTGGTGTTCCCCCAGATAAGCTGGAGGAGATGGCTGGGGAGAGGGAGATCTGGGCTTCTCAGCTCGGGCTGCTGCCCCTGCAACCCGACCCCGGATAAGCGGAAGAAAATGCATAGATGGATGGACATAAACTGTGAAAAATGAAACAGTGACCCTTGTTTCATTTTTTTTAATTCCATCACTCCCAGAAAGCACAGAGAGCTGGTACTCTAGATTACTGATCCAGGTACAGTTTGTTTTCGTTCATTCGTTAGTGTTGTGTGTGTATCGAAGGAGTATATCTGCACCACATACTGTGTGTTATACTGTGGTAGTAATATCTGTGTGTATTCTGGTAGTACTTGTACCTTCAGGCTGTAGAAATATGCGTCCGATCTCTCCGTACACTGATAGCAGGTTCCTCAGCTGTTTGGGGCGGAACCTCGGAGGAATATGACCCAGGTAGATGATTCCAGGGACGCACTTCCTGTCCTGAAATACGTTCTTTACCTTCTTCTTCTTCTCTTTTACCTCAACAGCGTCTTTGTCACCAACATCTTTATCCTCATCATCTCTTCTGTCTGCAGCAGCTCCCTCCTCCTCCTCCTCATCATCATCATCAAAATCACCATCTTCCCGCTTCTCCTCCTCGTCTTGTTCTTCTTCATCTTCAGTCTGAGCAAGCGCCTTCGTGTCCTCGTCTTCCTCTCTTCTCTCCATCTCTATAAAACAAAACGTGTTTGCACGTGACTCAGACTGAAGAGATAATCGCGAGAGCAGCAAAACTGGACCCAGAATAACTTCCGCGTGCAGACTTTTTCAAACTAAAACACTTAAAACTCACAATAAATGCTTACTTTAGGTTTCTTTGACGAACTTCTGTCACAGTTACGTTTCACGTGCGCAAACCGTCGCATGTGATTGACGAAACAGAGCGTCGCACTAACAAAGATCAGCTGACAGTTGACTTCCGGTTATGCCTTCAAAATAAAACATTAGGTGGGCGTTGTATAATCTTCTTTCATAAAGAAAAAAATTTTGTCTTTCCCCAGCAGTTTATTTGTTGAAACAATTTTTTAAACAGATTTATTTATTTATTTATTTATTTATTTATTTATTTATTGTGTAAAATGATGTCAAAGCTGGGGGAGGTGGGCAAAATGTACCTTAAACTCCATAGCATTTTTATTAAAGCTTTAGGTATTACCTGTTATTTTACTACTACGTTCTGCTGTATTATTATAGCCATCGCTGCCTGGCAGTACAGAAATAATGAAAAACTTCTCAATTACAACATTAAAGTGGTATGCACATTAATGGACTAGTATGTCTGATTCATTAGTGCCATGGATATGATTCTGAATAATTAGTTATAAAGTATTTTCACATGCTGAACTTCATGTACTGTTACTTCTGTAGATTATGATATTTACTTAAATAAAGAGTCTGAAAAATCTTTTCTCGACTTTGTAAAATATTTCTTAAAAACAATATGATGTTGAATTCTAGCGCAGCTCCATCTTTAGGACATTGGCGGTTCATGAGTCTAAAAATCCTGCAGTGTTTTTCTCTACAAACTTTAATCTAAGCTGTATTTCTTCCACCTTGTTTTTTCAGTTTAATAAATCCTAGGAACCATGTTCTGCACTCAGTCATCGAACCTTCAGGAAACCTGGCGAGAAATGCTGCAAACAGGAGGATCCCAAATTCAGGACCAATATTAGATTTTTATTTTTTTTTCAAAAAGTGAAACAAGAGATCATTAACAGCTGAAGGAAGTCAAACGGCTCTTATTTTGAAATTCAATCCGGATGTAGGTTTTTGTTTTCGCGTGTGAAACGCACGCCGGTGACGGCGGGTTGCTTTGAAGCTGTTAGCGTTTAGCAGCGGAGATGCAGAGACCGGTGTCCAGTTTGCCTCTGAGCCAGGCTGTGAGGCTGAAACTGGGTAGTGCTGGTTTCCAGCTCACCGCGGACCTATTGGACTTCAAACCGGACAAGCTTAGCAAAGGTACCGCTCCATTTCCCCCCACAGTTCCCAAAAACTCCGGTCAAAATGTGTCACATTTTAGCTCGTCTGTCTTATAAAGCCCTGCAGCAGTAAAAATCACAGCTAAAACAGGTTCACAGCGTCCTGGTAACTCATGGTTTTCTCATAGCCTCTGAGAAGACCGTTTGTAATAAGGAGCAGGGATGGCTGAAAGCTGTTTGTTTGTTTACCTTTTATATTCTGCTGAAATGCAGACTTATGGACAGGAAGGTGCTCAAAACACTGACACTGAACTGAGTCACGTTCTTCATCACAATAAACATCAGGCTGCTTTTTATGTGAAACACAGCTGAGCCTTTGGAAGAAAACAAGTACGTGAGATTTATCGAGGAGTTTCATTTCAGAGACCGGCCTGAGCGAAGAGGAGGCTGTGGAGGTGCTGAAGGCTGTGAAAGGTGGAGGAGGAGGCGGAAGGGGTGACATCTCAGCATCTCTGACCGCTCTGGAGCTCCTGCAGAAGGAGGAGGAGTTAAGGAGCATCGTGACATTCTCCTCTCAGCTAGACGAATGTCTCGGAGGAGGAATCCCTGTCGGGAAAATAACGGAAGTCTGTGGAGTTCCGGGAATCGGAAAAACGCAGCTGTGGTAAGAAATACACACACACACACACACACACACACACACACACACACACACACACACACACACGATCATCTATAACCTTACAGATGTTTTGGAGCTGTGATGATGGCGTGAGGAAAACAGTCGAGGAAAATTAGTCACCGTGATGTGGATCAGTAAAGTGAGTGATGATGTCGCCCTTTCAGTCTGCAGCTGGCGGTGGATGTTCAGGTGCCTCAGTGCTTCGGGGGGGTCGAAGGTCAGGTGATGTTTATTGACACAGTGGGCAGCTTCCTGCTTCAGAGGGTCACCGACATCGCAGCAGCCGCCGTTAGACACTGCTCCTTATTGGCTGAGGACGATGAGCAACGAGCCGCCATGGAGACCTTCACCGTGGAGACCATCCTGTCCAACATCTTCTTGGTAATGTCTACTAAGTGATGTATGCAGTGATGTCACTATGCATCTGCAAACTTCTAAAATTCTGATTGGCTCTCTATCTCGCCTCACTCAGGTGCGTTGCCATGACTATGTGGAGCTGCTAGCTGAGCTCCATCTACTTCCTGACTTCCTGTCCCAGCATCCAAAGATCCACCTCCTGGTGATCGACAGTGTGGCATTTCCTTTCCGCCTGCTCTTTGACGAGCTTTCACAAAGGACACGCCTCCTTAATGGCGTCGGCCAGCAGCTAATCACCATGGCAATAAACCATAACATTGCAGTGGTAATCACCAACCAGATGACGACCCGGATCCGGGACGGCCAATCGCACATTGTCCCTGCCCTTGGGGAGTGTTGGGGCCACGCCCCTACAATCAGGCTCCTCCTACAGTGGGAAGGGTCGCGGCGTCTGGCGACCATCTTTAAGTCTCCATGTCACGTGGAAACCACGGTGCAATACCAGATCACCCCCGAAGGCTTCAGAGATGCCGATCAATCAGAAATGGCGCACAGCAAACGGCCTCGAATGGACACTGACCAATCAGCTGCTGAGCCAAAAGACACAAGCAGCTGATTGGTTGGAAACTGTCCAGTAAGAAGAGGCTGATTGAGCATTTGTCTTGTGTGGATTTAATGACACTGCTGTGTTCACACAGGAGGTTCCTGTTTAAATAAAGTTCAGTTTGAGTCCAGCAGGTGGAGACACAGAACTGGTTATCAGTCAGTGGCTCCTCCTGTCTGCGCCGTTCATCCCTGACTTTCCCGAGCAGATGCTGAATACTTCTGCGTTTAGAGAAGCTGCTCTGCAGAAGAGCAGGGGTCAGAGGTTAGAAGGTGGCCCTCTTGCTTGCAGATTCTTCATATTTAGAAATGTCGATATTTATAGAGGGAGATTAGCACTACAGACACAACTGGATTCATTTAGTTTATTAAAACATTGTTTCTGTTGTTTCTACTGAGACGATCTTGTCTTACCCTCAGGTGCAACACACATTACTGTTGTGTTCAAGCTTTTCTTCTGCTGGAAATAGGCAGAAACACTGGCTCGTTTCCAGTCCACCTTCTCAGTCCATGATGAGTGTGATTCTGTTTAGAGTGCCTAAGGGTCGCTTAATTAAGGGGTGGGGTAGAAATACAGCGGCGAGCTTTGGGATGTCCTCGCTTTTCACTGATGGAAAACAGGAGGATTGATGTGTTAAAGCTTCTTACTGACTGATGACTATAAGCATCAAGCCACAATGGAGAGCTTCATGACTGCTTGTAGAAATCGTGTCTGGAATTTTCACCTGTTGAGTTTAAATTTCATTTAGGTCAAGTCAAAGTCAAAAAAACTTTATTTATCCCTGAGGGGCAATTAAGATAAAGTTTTTTGACATGAAATGGATTTATTCTTTTTCTTTTGTTATTGTGACAACAACAATTAAAATAATGAACTTCATTGATGAAGCACCTTTCAGATCCAGCCATTTTTGGCCAGAAATGTTATGGCCAGGGTCGCCACCAAGGGGGGCCAGGGGGGCCACCGGCCACCCCTCAAAATTTACAAGACTGTCCAGTGTTGGTTATTATTTTAAACATGAGCACAAGAGACAGGAAGACACTTCACAGTGAGTTGAAATATTGTGTATCATTTTGAATTAACTGTATACAATTCTTTTGTCATGCCTTCACGATTTCCCGTCGTCCCTTCCTTCGTTGCGTCCCTGCACTGTTCTGTTTTTGGTGCGCCATCTCAATATTTTTAGTGGCCCCCATATGAAAAAAATTCTGGAGGCACTCGTGGTTATGGCTTCAAAATCCAGACGCTAACAGCAATGCCCGGTGTCCATCTTTTATATACAGTCTGTCTTTTCTCATGGGAGGGTCCACACACAAAGCCTGTTGGGGTTACTTCAGGTAGGACATCTGACATAAATACAAATCTAGCAAATGAAAACATGTCGAGCTGCCTGCTGTGCTGTAGTGAATAAGGGAGCAGCTGAAAAAAGCTTCTTCAGTGTGTGGATTTTCCACACAGAAGTAAGGAGAGAAAGGGCAACTAATAAATAAACACCATCTCCCATGATGCACTTCTGCTGACATGATCGGCAGCTGCAGAAATAAACTGAAATAATTTCAAAGAAGTTTTTGTCATTCCGAACTTTTTTATTACTATTATTGTTTTTGACACTGAATATTTACAGGCAGATGTTCCCTAGCAACAGATGTTGTTATCACTACACACAGGAAGATCAAAGTGGGTTTAAACATCAGGAGGTAAACACTGAACACCTGTCCGACACCTGAGCAGGTAAACACTCAGAAGTGACGGAAGCCAGCAGTGGTGACTGTCGGTAAACAAAGGGTCAGCTTGGTACATTTTGGGCACTTTTCAGGGCATTTCTTACCACTGCTGCCCAGAGATGTTTCTGAGTTACAGAAATCGGATATGCCTATGCTTTATTAAAAGTAGGGTGGTTACTGTTTTCTCCAGCTTAGTGAAGACCAAACAGAAGTCCTTCAGCACAGATTTGTGCCTAAGCTAAAGGAAACTGCAGGTCCTTTTCAGAAACCTCGGCTTTCACTACAGATGTTCACTCACTTAAAAAATGTTAATGTTTTGTCATTAATGCTTTTATTTCATCACCCCTGGGTTGCTGTTGTTCATTGTTCATTTGTCTTCGTAAAACCTCCTCATTAGCTTCAGAGTCCACTTTAAGAATCTGGTTTTTAGTTGTAGAGCTCCGTATGGACGGTGAATCACCCCATCTCTCAGCCTGAGATCGGTGGATTCAGTCTGTTTATAAAAAATTACTCAATATCATTCTTTTAAACTTGTTTATAGGTAACTTTTTGGTTGTGAAGCATTTTATATTTACCTTGAAATGTCCTATATAAGTAAAATTGTACTTTTTGTCACA